GAACTCATGACCTTGCACTTGCCAGGCAGGTGCTTTTGCCACTGAGCTAAATCCCAGCCCCAAGAATTTTGTATTATTCCACTTAAGAATATGTGAGATGAATTATCTACTGTGGGTGCTAAAATAAATAAGCAAGAGGTCAGAGCCTGAGGATGTCTCCATAATTTGAGTTTTTTAACCTAACAGACTGCAACCAAGTTTAGTAAAACTTAGAAGTATAAAAAAAGCTGAATTTCAACCAATCACAAATGGTCAAGTTTCTGCCAATCACAAGCAGCCAAGTGATTAGACCATGCCCAGACAAGTCAAATGCTTCGTCACACCATGCGCAAATAAGGCAAATTCTTAGCTGTAATCAATTTGGTCATTTCTCTACTTCCATGTTTGGCCTTTATATTTCATTGCTCATACTTATGTGAAGAGTTCTCTGAATCTCTTCTGGTACTGAATACCGCCTCATTCATGAACTGTTCTTTACTCAAATAGATTTTTAAGTTTGCCTAGTTTTTCTTTTAAGAGGGAATAAAGTTAATTATAGTATGAACATTTTGAATTTTTGGATGCCTTTATGACATGTATGAAATTGAAATACAGGTCAGGAGTCAGAAAACTACACGCAAAATGATGCCAACTGCCTGATTTTGTAAATAAAGTTTCACTGGGACACAGCCAGGTTCATTACTTTAGGTATTATTTTAGAATACTTCTATAATACAAGTAGTTCAGACAGAGATCCATTATCCACCAGGCTCTCTCTAGACTTTTTATAAAAAATATATATATGTTATCTAACCCTTGTATAGAAATTCAAAAGTCTGAAAGAGTAGTTTCAGAATTTTGGAGGATGTTGTGGAGGTGGGGCAGAGACCACTGTGAAGTTGAAGCTGTGTTCTATTCTGGAACATACCATCTCCATGAGAGGGCCTTGCAGCCCCTGGTGTGGGATAAACTCACTATAAATAGGAGGGATTGGAATTTTTAGATTTGCTGATAAGAACTTCATTTTCTTGGTTCTGAGTCTCTTCTGAGTACTCCTATTTCTTCCCACCTTCCAGGGCTTTCACCCGTGTGGTGGGCTCCTTAGTGTCCCAGGAGACCGAAGGACCTTCCTCTCACACTCCCTCCCACCCCTGTACTCTCTGGAAGTTGGAACAGTCCCAGAGTAAAAATCTGGACAATTGGCCTCACAACTTCCTTTCCTTGGTGACCTGAGAAGGGGAAAGACCCTCCTGGCCCTGGCCCTGGTAGGCAGGGGTGGTCAGTCTACATGTCTTCTGGGCCCTGGCTAGAGAGTTGAGGTGTCCTTGGGAAGTGTCCTAAGGTGGGGGAAAGCCTATCTAGAGAGTCACTCTGAGGGTCAAGGTTGGGGAGAGGTGTGGTAGGAGGAGGCTGAGGCAGGAGAGGAGGGCTTAAGAGGGAGGGAAGGGACAACAGGTTGATCTATCTCAACAGGGCCAGCAAGGCCACTAAGGCCCTTAACCATCATGGCCTTGAAACCCGAGGACCCCTGTACTGGATTCCAGCATGACACAGTGGTAAAATTCATCAACAAGAAGATGACCAGGCACCCAAAAGGCCCCAAGTTCTACTTTCAAAATCTGTCTCTGTCCTGGGAGGAGATAGAAGACAAGATCAAGGCCATTCTGGAAGACAGCGAGGTGCCCAGTGATGTTCAAGAGGCCTGTACCTGGGGCAGCCTGGCCCTGGGCATGCGTGTAGCTCGCAGACAGAGGCACTTACAGGCATACAGGGTGCAGTGGCTGCACGAGTTGGCCAAACTGCACAAGTCAGCCACTCAAGCCTTGGCCTCGGATCTGAAGCAGCTCATAGAACAGCAGGAGGTGGAGCGCAAGGAGGCTGCCTTCAAGCTGTGGCTGGCCCATGCCAAATTGGCCCAGATGCAGAAAGAGAGGGACCTGCTGAGATGGAAGCTTGTGCAGGCGGTAAGATAATCCCCCCGGCCCCCACTCCAGCCCTACACCTGTACCCCCACCAGGCCCCCACCCCCAGGCTGTGTCTCAACCCGCCCACTTCTCTTCAGGAGCTAAGGGCGCTCCCAGGGCCAGCTGTGCAGGAACCAGACACGGCTGCTATCCCAGAGGTGGAGATACTAGGAGCAGGTGAGAAGCAGGAGGAAGCAGAGGCTGAAGCTAGTGCCGCGGGTAGAGGAAGAAAAGGAGAAGAAGAGATGGATGTGATCAGTGCAGCCTCAGAGGAGGCCACACAGGAGCTAAGTGAAAGCCTCCTGCAGCTTCTTGAGGTTGTCCAGCAGAAAAATTACACCTCTGGCAGAGAGAGAGAGGGCGATGTTGGGCCTGTAGAAACAGCCACGCTTTATCTCTCTGGGACTCTGCAGGCCACGTCCACAGCCTCACCGGGACCCCTTCCTGTCCAGCTCCCTGCCTCTTTCACATACAGCTACTCAAGCCCTTTGTCCTGTTTCCCAGCTGCATCCACCTCATCCCCACTAGCAGCCACGAGCACAGCACCTGTTCCACCTCAGCTGCCCCCTCACTGCTCAGCCTCCAATTTTAACTTGTGGTCTGATGTGTGGGCTCAAGGAGTAGACCCTCCAGAACACCAGAAAAGGAAGAGAGACTCTGAACACCATCAGCAGAGAAAACATCGAGGGCATCGCAAGCCTGGGGATTGGAACTGCCCTTGGTGTAAGGCCGTGAATTTTTCACGAAGGGAAAACTGCTTCCGCTGTAGGAGGGGAATCTGGCTGCAAAGCCCTTAGTAAAACCAGCAACATGCAATAAAACACTGCAGTAGGAAGTCTGTTTTCAGAGGCAAGAGCCTGCATGGAGTGTGGGGTAAGGGTGGCAATATGGGGCCAAGGAAGTCACAGGGTTGGGTGGGAGCTGGAGAGGGTGCAGCTGGCGGGGAGAGAGACACGTTTTGATGATGATCCCTTTTATATTCCATGCAGCACCCCAGAACTGCTGCAGCTTCCTGTGTGTGTGTGTGTGTGTGTGTGTGTTCATGTGTGTGTATGTGCGCACATGCGTACATGTGTGTGTATGGATGTCTCCCATCCTAGTGTCTGGTGGACCTAAAAGCTACATTTATAAACCCTCCTACACTCTGCTACCATGCTTAGGCCTCAGATGATGGGAGCACGAGTGGGCATTTGACCCATCCTGAGCCACACAGATTCTCAGGCTAGAGAATATGAACAAAAGGCAGAGTCCATACTCAGAATGGGGTTGTGCAGTGCAGTAGTGGGTTGCTTGGAGTTGGGGCTGGGGTCATAGGCACAAACACTGAGGCCTAGCTCTGACTGTGGGGGAGCAGAACCAGGTACTTTACAGAGGATGTCTTTTAGGGGATACCAGCACAGTGTAGAGCCCAGGAAACGGAAAGGTATAAAGGAGTATGGAGGAGTTAATACAGTAGCTCCAAAGAGCTGTGGAGAGTGGTGGTGACTCAACTACTTTTCCCTTCCTGCAAATGTACTATGTGAACATCCACTTTACCCAAATCCCCTTTCCCTATAGCGACTTCAATGTGTTCCTGCTGTAGGTAACCAGATCATTTCCAAGTCAGAAACTGGCACCAGGAGAGCAATTTGAAACAACAGACTATCAAATAGTGGAACTGGTTGGGGAGTTCCAACACGGTATGACAAATAGTAGGGATTCCTGCATCCTAAGAGCCCCCAGGGATGAACTGGATAGGAGGCTCCTGTTCAGAGAGTTATATCAGAAGAAATAAAACAGGCTTAGGGTTATAGGTCTGGGATTAACCTTAGGTCTGTGCTTGATTCAAATTAATATGCAGCGATCTGCCACCCCTAAGCAAGTTCCACATGGCTGTATACAGAGGATGCCAACATCAACTACAGGTGAGGACTACTACCACTGCACAGCCTCATGAGGAGAATCTTTCCCAGTCCCTGCTGGGTGGAACCAGATATGAACAGGGAACTCATACCACTAGGAGGTGAGTCAACAGCTGAGAGAATCCTGAAGGTTTGCTGGTCCAGTCCATGGGCCGAAGCATGGTGCTCCCTTTCTCCAACCCACTGTCAAGATGTATGTGGAGAGAGGCTGGCTACAAAGCTTTCTGTGAATTCAGAAATGTGAAATAGTACCTAAACATAACAATGGAAAATCAGTTTCCAGGGGGTGGGTGAGAATGGGTGGTGGGTTGGTTTGCTCCTCCCCATCTGATGCCTACAAGCTGCATGGAAAGGGTCATAGGTCCTTCAGCCCTCAGAGAGAAGGATGGGGAGCAGTTGCCCCTGGACCAGACTGAAATAGAATTGGAGGAACCGTGGATATTGCCTAGGGAATGCAGACCTAGAGACTAGGAAGCTGGTGTGGCCCTGGGACATCTCTGTGGGCACATGACTTTGGGTTGTCTCCTAATGCAGAAGGGTGTGGACAATCACCATCAGGATTAGGGGCCAGATTCCTAACCTACAAATTTCTATTCACTTTCCCATTCATGAATGTTGTTGATATTATTTACCTCTCTCTAGGACAGAAATTTCTTATCCTATCTTGACATTTTGAGATAGAATGTTATTTGTTGCTGAGGGCTGTCCAGTGCATTGTAGGATGTTCAGCAGAATTCCTAGGCTCTGCACACTAGATGCCCCTGGTACCCATCCAACCCTGCTCCCTCAGTTGTGACAGTGGAAAATGTCTGTGGATATTGCCAGATGTCCACTAGAGTGAAAAGCATACCTATCTGGGAATGGTGCGGGCAGTGAAGTACTTAGGAACAGTCTGATCAGGGTAAGAAAGGAGAAGGTCACAGAGGCTCAGGAGCCCCGTGAGATAGGAGTTGCAGCCTGTCCTTTAGATCTAGTATTTACTTTGGCTCTTAAAGCAAATCCAGGAGAGTGGCAAGGTAGAAGCAAAACTGCAAGAGTAAGGCGAGAAGGGGAAGTAAGGAAGCAGACTCAGGAGAAGAAGCTCTTTTCAAGGACAGAAGTTGGCTGTGAAAGGATGGAGTCATGTGAGATACATGATTGATAGTTTTTTGAATATGGGAGAAACCTGAGCCATAAAAGTGATAACAGAAAAAGTCTGAAAATAGGAGAAATGTGAATGAATGGGGTAGATCGTGCATTACCATATTGCAGTCATGGCCATGGTATTATTAAATTCACAAAATCCCTCTAACATTTCTGTTAGTGTGTGTATATATATATGCTCTGCAATTTATAGACGTATGTTTGAGTACATATAGAAAAACATGGGAAGAAATTTATGAAATAATGAATCACCTAGGAAAACTGAACTCAGGGTCAGGGGTGAAAAGAAGGGTGGTGCTTGGATATAGGGTGGTGTTTGGTAGAATAGGACCCAGGAGATATAGGGCTTTTTATGTAATTCTGTTTTATAAAAATAAAATAATAAAATGCTCACAAGTTTTTTCTTTTTTCATGACATGAATTAACTGGCTTGGGTAGACTCAGAAAGGCCGGTTCTTTCTCTGGGACAAAAAAAAAAAAGAAAAAGAAAACACATTATGTGGTTAAAGAATGGGAAACCAAGGCAGCTTTTGTACGTGTGTCTTTTAGATGAGGCAGCGCGAAGTGAGTGAAGACAGAAATACAGAAGGCCGTGTGCAGCGGAGAACAGTATGCATAGAAATAACCATGGAGATGGGTAGGGTGGAGAATGAGGACCCCGTTGGTGTAGCACTCAACTAGAGGAAAACCCTTGACTTTGGATGGCAGCAGGAACCCAGGAGAGGGCAGGGGAAGGGAGGGTAGGCAGTTTCCGGAAAGCTACTGGACACTATTCTCTCAGGTATTGTTTTCATCATTTTTTGTGAAGGGATTTGGCCTTTTAGGATTTAGATGTTACTTTTGGTAGGATTATGGAATGACAAACATATTTTTACAACTTCGTGTGTTGTGCCTATATATTTTTTTCTCTATAAGTCTAGAGAAAAGGATTCAATAAGCTAAAATAATTTTTTCTTCCATCACTGAATTCCATCCATAAATGAAACAGGTGATCTGCCTTGGCCTTTGAGCACCCAGGCAAGGATGCTTAATGCTAGGGCAGGTTAAAGGGAAGATACCTTTCAAAACAATGTTTCCAAAGGAAAGGCCTAGCTCTAAAGGATGAGAGAACACAAGAAATGGGGTGAGATTTCACTAGAATCAATGCCTTGTTCCAATTCAGTGAGCGGTACCTCTAAAAAAATTAAAATGTTCCTCTTTGGGGTTGCCTTTTGAGATTACAACAAAGTGGTGAACGAAAGAGCCAGGCATGGTGGTGCATGCCCGTAGACTCAACACACAAGAGAGGTGAGGCAGGAGGATCACCTTGAGTTCAAGACCAGCTTGAGCTACATAGGAAGTCCAAACCAGGCTGAACTATATAGCAAGACTCTGTCTCGGCAAAACAAAACAAAACAAAACAAAAACAAAGTGGTGAAAAGGAATGACCAACCAGTGTTCCTGTGTTCACCTTCTTCTTTCTGATGACCTATCCACATGCTGGAAAGTCAAACTTGGCTACACTTGTCTGTAGAATGATAGAAAGTAAAAATAACTCAAATGGTATTTTATTTAGAAATGACAATGCTTTCTCATCTTTGTTTAATGTAATATGAGATCAAAGTCAAAAGTTGGCCAGGGTGGGCAGAAAGATTAATTAGTATAGAAAACTTCTCTGATGTCTTAAGAATCACGGTTTTCTATGGCTTCTCACCATGCTGTAAATAACCAGTGTTTCCAGCGTCATTTTGTTGCATGTCACCTCACAGAATTGTCTTCCTGCTATCAATTTTTTTTTTTTTTTGGTCTTTTTGAGACAGTGTCTCACTATGGAGTTCAGACTGGCCTTGAGCTCATTTTGTAGCCCAGGCTGATCTCGAACTCACAACAATCCTCTTGCCTCAGCCTCCCGAAAGCTGCGATTATAGCCTTGCGCCACCATGCCCGGCCTGCTATCTATTTCTATTGGCAAAACCTAACATATTTTTTGAAAGGAAGGATTCACGTGAGCAAATTAAAAACCAAGTTAAAAGGAGGCGAGATCTCTTGCCTTCAATAAAAAGGATGAATTAACAAAGTCAAATCAAGTCAACATAAAAGTTCCAAAGAACCCAATATCAATGAAATTGAAGATGTAATTAAAAACCTACCAATAAGGAAAAGGATGTAAATATGAAATGTGGCCCAAACCCTTTCCTTGTGGAGAGTGAGGAGAAAGGCATCAAGAGGTGATCAGAATAACAGGAGTAAAAAGTACAAAAATGCATATGTATCTCTCAGTATCCAAATAAATACATATACTTTGCTATTAAAGAGTATAACTTAATGTTGAAAAGGCTGTGTGCAGGTCAGTGCCTACGTTTTCTTAAAAGAGATCAAGGCCCAAAGTGGGAAGCAGATATCTCCCTCCTACTTAGTTTTTTGTTTGTTTGTGTCAACCACAGATCCAGATTGCACCCACTAAATACCAATGCTCTGTCTTGCCGAGACGGATTCTCTTCATTTTGGTGAGAGAGTGAAGACTGCTCTGTGTGAGTCCCTATCTCTGAGAGAACTAGTGGGAGTGCATGCTTTGACTAACAATGCTGAGGTCAGACACTTTGCTGTTTTTCAGTGAGTTCGTTTCATTGAAGAGCTGTACTCCCTTTAAATATACATTTCCTCCATGGAAACATCATCTGCTACAAACATGTATTATTACCTAACTGCAAGTTAATGTATCCATTAGTTATGTCTCTTCTTTTCTAAGAACTGGTCAATGTCTCAAAATATCATGTTTAAAAAGTATAACTGAAGCCAGGCATGGTGGCGC